GGTCCAAAACGGTGTCTCATACACTTTTGCTATACCTTTTCCACACTATTCCTCTTTAGTGTTAAACAAAATGTTTTTTTCTCGAAAAGTATCCTTTAGACATGTTAGAAAGGAGTATGGGGGATATAGACAACATCTCTGAGCTGTAAGAGCTGTCTAAAAAGCTTGCAATACCGTACCTGCCCCTTTGACTTTTACGCAGTTTAGATACATTAGAAGAGAGTTAGAGTTCCAAAAACTGGAACCAAAGTCTGTAAGAAGTGAATAAATTATATAAAGAACTCAAAAACAATGTTTTTAATTCAGCTAGATTTGATTTATTCATTTAATCATTTATCTACATCATTATAATTGCATTGGAATGGCTTGCCCAGAGTTCTAATAAAATCAACATCATATTATGGTCTCCATGCAAAATTAGCAACTTTTGTAAATCAGAGAACAATTGAGACAACACTAGAAAAACAAGCATTTACCAAACTGTTAAGATTCAAATTATGGAGATTGTGGGAATGATATCAAAAGTATATTTTAAAAATTATGTAACAGTCAAGCCTTGCAAGATTTGAATAGAAAATTATTCCATTCAAATTCATTTATCATATTTTAATCCATATACAACCAAAACATCAAACGAGCAAGCCACAAAAAAGTAATACATTTCCAAATGAGACATTGTCAGTTAGGTTTTCGGTCAGGGGGGGGGGGTGCGATTTTGCCTTAAGCAACACAAAAAATTAAGATTTCTTTTGAATTTTACAAAAATTGATGCAACTTCCTTCAAAATTGAGCTAGAAGCTTCAAATAAAAAGCATTTTAAAGCTCTTTTCTACCTCTATCCAATGGTCATATTTTCAAAGGTTATGGGGGGGGGTGCGATCGCACCCATCGCACCCCCCCCCCTGGCTACGCCCATGTGTTTTGAAAGCTAAAACTGTATATATTTGTCGTTGTTATTAATTGTAATTGTTCATTCCTTGAATGCTATCTTTGCATGAAGATCATTCTAAATAGATGTGTTATTCTATAATATTCTTATTACTGATGAATCAAGGACTAGTTCAGTTCATGGTACATACCATTGGTACATTATGGTACATAATACATAATATGGTACATACAATTATAAAATAAATGTTACATTCATACACCTAAGCAACTAAGCAGCTAATGGCATGCTTTGAATTGATTTACTAGACTAAGGGCAATATAGTGAAAATATAGACAAATACACTGTACTTGGTTACTAAGAGCAACTATCTTACATTTAGCAATTTAGTTACTAATGGCAACAATGTCACAATCCTAGTTGCTAGGAACAACCATGTTATGTATATAAAACCTTGGTAACTAGGAGCAATTTGTCACTAGGGGCAACCATGTTGACCCCTGAGTTACTAGAAGCAGCCATGTTACATATTACATACATGTTACACAACTTAGTTACGAGGGGTTACCATTTTACCTGAAGTAATTCAGTTAACCACATTACACTACGTCATATAGAACAATTCGTAGGAGTGTTATAAATGGAGAACAGTGTTTCTAATAACAACATGTGATTTTCAGGTAGCAATTTTCACAGTACATATAGATGTACATGTACATATATACAGTATGTATATATAGATGTACATATAGATGTATGTAATGTAAAAGGGTTTCATCACAATATTTCTTAGCATGCACATTTGGCAATTTAAACTACAAAATATAGATCTGGGCAAAAGCTTCTGTATTACTTCATAGACATTCACTTAGTATATTGAATGAATATGTGCATTAATTGAACATGCATTGAATAAAATGTATTTGATATGACACAGTATCTCAAATGTACATAACTGTACATAACTGTACATACAAACATGTTAAATGGAACATGTTACTCAAACAGAATGGCTAAACATAAACAAGCTGCTATATTTTATGAACATGCTACTTCAAAGACATTTTCCGCCAATCACTACCAAGCTCAACTACATAAGGGACCAGCACATAAGCTGTCAAGCACTTAATTTAAGACATGTCATTTCATTGCTATAATGAAATAGGTTACCTGTAGAATTTAGCGCAAAGCCTTTGAGATGGACCCTTAAGAATACATTATTGTACATATCAAAGATTCATTGAAGCAAAAAGCGAGAAAGCAGAGTCAAGCACCCTGTATAGACCGCTTGTAATCCAAAATTCAAGAACACCCTAGTTGTTCTATGAAAATTGAATTATTTTTTATTAAAACTTATTTACCAAATTCATAATACCCATCAACAGTGATGGCATAAGCCAATTTGTGTGCTTATTGTTAGAGAATATAAAATATTAATAATTAATGTAGTATTAATTGATTAATTAATTGATTAATACAATGGATTAATTTATATAAAATAGCACCTTTACTAGATTCAGTGTTGTATTAGATATTGTTAGTAACTAAATAACATATTTTTGGGTTAGTATTTGTGTTATCAAAATTTACTAATAAAGTGTATACCATAAGTACTCGTATATCACTAATGTATAGAAGTTATCGTTTCCTGTGATCATTGTCGTACAATTCCATTAAATATAGTTATTAACATTAGGCAAGGCCTATATTAGCTGTTTGCAAAATTACATTACTATTAATCTAAATAAACAATGTTAGTAAATGAATTTGTTAGGTATGTTTATTTAGTAAATGTATTTGTAATGTATGTTTACTTAGTAAATGTATTTGTTATGTTTGTTTATTTAGTAAATGTATTTGTTAAATGTATTTGTTATATATATTAGTTTAGTAAATGTATTTGTTTGACATTTTTATTTAAACTGGATGGATGCAATAAGGCTAAGCTAATTAATGAACTAATTAGTAAATCATAAATGTCTGTGATATATTTAAGACTATGGCAAACTTTTCACTAATTCTAAGCGAGATCTATTGGAAAACTCCCTGTGCATTCTTTACCAAGCAAGCAATCCATATCAATTGTAAAAATGAATGGTCGTATTAGATAAAAAGACAAGTTAAGGCTAAGCTAATTAATTCAGTTGTTTAACATACAATCTCTTGGATATATTTAAAACTTCATGAAGTACACAAAATATCAGGCTGCATTAAAATAAATAAACATTCATAGTTTCAATCAAATTTTATAGAAATCTGTGTTTAACCATATATAATTATTCCTCTCAGGACAGGTCTAAAAATGAAATAATGTTAAACATTGAATTATATTTCTTTTGCCTAAACCTTCATCTACACTGTACTATACTCTGATACTATTAACCAGTAAGCTTTCAAATTGTATATAAATGTCAGAAATCCAAACTGGAAATACAACTAACTGACCACAAAAACACATCCAATCAACACACTGGCTTTACTATGCTATATATGAAGCAATTCATATCTACTCCTACATCTCTATCTATGCTGTGATAGTAATTATAGTAATGGTAATTAAAATGTAGGTGAAAATCAAGGAAATTGTTTGTGAAATTACCCAACAATTTTGTCATCCATAGACATTCTTATTTATTATCCTCACTCATTTATTTTCATTTTAAGTAGATAGTAGCCTGGCCAGAACAAGTCACGCCTCTCTATTTTCTCAATAACTTTCTCAATTTTGAATATTTTTTCATGAAATTTTCACAGAATAAACTTTAAAGAATTCCTAACATACAAATATTTTTATATGGTAAATGCCTCATTATTTTCATTGTTACAAGCTTTTAAAAAATAATGTCATGTTCTGTTGATGGGTCATTTTTGTCGCCATTTTTTCTAAAAAGATACAAAAAATCTAAATTACGTTTTGTCCTAATATGGTCTACAAATTTGATTGCAGTCTTTGATAGGGGATCATTTATCTTTTTTAGTGTTCTAAATCCACCATACTATTTCAAGACCTCATGATCTCAAGCCTCTATACTGCTCGTCCCATAAAAGGCATTACTACTCGCCTATTGTCATACTTGATGGAGATAAAAATGCTTTCAAATGGCGACAAAATTGACCCATCAACAGAATATGACATTATTTTTTAAAGGGTTGTAACAATGAAAATAATGAGGCATTTACCATATAAAAAAATTTGTATGTTAGGAGTTCTTTAAAGTTTATTCTGTGAAAAATTTCATGAAAAAATATTCAAAATTGAGAAAGTTATTTAGAAAATAGAGAGGCATGACTTGTTCTGGCCAGGCTACTAAGTGTATTACTTCTATTTAAAGTGATGAATATACATGTATTGTGGATTTTATTTGAAGTTTATCTCAATAAAATAAAAATAAATATAAAATGTTCTAAACTTTCCTTTAAATTTCACAAGCTTTTTCGCAAAAGTCCCCTAAGGCAACATTTAAAGGCCAATAAGGCAACATATATAGGCCAATAAGGCAACATATTTAGGCTAATAAGGCCTATATACGGTCTATAGGCCAATAACAACCACGACTTACATGATTTCATGCACAAATTATGAGATTCTTGATAATTTCCAACTTTCAACTTTGTTCTTTTTGACTCGCAATATATATTTATACTACATAACATGCAGAGAAACTACATGAATTTTAAGTGCAAAATGTGTGTCTGTGGATAGGTGATACATGGAATTCCACATTGAGTGTGTAATGCGCACCTATGCATGTGTAATACAATTACTTGTGTGTAATACATTTACTTTTGTGTAATACATGAACATGTGTGTAATACAATGACTTGTGTGTAATACATTTACTTGTGTGTAATGCATAAACATGTGTGTAATACAATTACTTGTGTGTAATACATGAACATGAGTGTAATACATTTACTTGTGTGTAATACATGAACATGTGTGTAATGCATTTACTTGTGAGTAATACATGAACATGTGTGTAATACATTTAATTGTGTGTAATACATGAACATGTGTGTAATTCAATGACTTGTGTGTAATAAATGAACACATGTGTAATAATTGTGTGTAATACATGAAAATGTTTGTAATAATCATGTGTAATAATTGTGTGTAATACATGAACATGTGTGTAATAATTGTGTGTAAATGACAAAGGAAAGTATGATAGTGACAGCAGAAAATGTACTATAAAGCCAAGCACCAAAAACTAGCATGTGTTATTTTACAAACAATATAATTATGAACAACATATCTTTTGGGCTGCCAAAAGATTACATACCATTTTCAAAACTTAGGTTTTACTAAAACGTAGAAACACAAAGACAATGGCCGTTGAATATTCTTTGAATATAGATATTGAAATTGAATGTTTTTAAAATATCAGATGTTTTACATCAAAACTTACGACAGCACATTCAGCTATGAAACTACCCTACTATGTACATAATCTAACTAACTTGTATTGTAATAAAATAAATAGGTTATTTGAGACATTTTGTTGCTATAGCAACCAATTGTTATCATATGTAGAATGTCTATCACCCTGGATGTTTAATTGATATCGGAAATGTCTGTCTGGGTATCAAAAATGTCTAGCAGATATCAAGTGTCATTCAAGCGGATATCAAATGATTTTATTAAGGTCAAATCCAGAAATGTTGCCATTTTAGTAGCTGGTTGCTATGGTGACAGCTGGTTGCTATTGCACGAGTTGGTCGTTATGGTGATATGGATTTCCTAATGGTTCCTAGGGTCATTCACCGCTACTACCACTTTGAGTACTGGGACTTGACTGGGCCATATGTCTTCTTTGCTGAAAGATCAAAATAATTCATTATCATCTTTATTAAATTCAATGAAATATGAGCTCCGTTTGTTTATTTTAATTAATGGTTACCAAGGTGAAGTAAATCAAAATAATTTTTATTTTCAAAATTAAAAATTGAAGCACCATGCATGTATATCAGAAAACAGAACTGCAATATGATTTCATGCTCATTTTATAAGTCTGACATTATGTCACCATGGCAACATCTTATGACATAGAAAACAAGTAAACTCAGGTGACGAGATGTTCAGCATATAAAACTACAGAGTTAATCACAGATTTTGAAGAGAATCAGATATGATTTCAAAAACTTAAGAAAATAGACTTGTTGATTCCGCTGCAACAAAAACTTATGCAAAAAAGTAGGCAGATTGAAGATGTTTTGAAAGAAATATCATGGAATTTGATATGAAATAGGTGAATTGTTTTGACTAGGTAGAGCAGAAGTGTAAGGAAATGTAGCGGAAGATTTCATCTTGGAAAAACTTATGAATAAATATGACACGTTTCTTACGATATATAAAAATATTGTTAACCTTTTGCATGAGACAGGTGTATGGTATTGTTTAACCTGTTCTGCCTTGCAAATAATTCCGAATTTTCAAATTTTCATAAGTTCATGATTTCATTGTGATTTTTGAAGGATTATAGCTTATGTTATATTTCCATAACATTGTAACGTTTTGCAATTCTTGGCATTATAAAAAAGGTCATTTTGTCAGGTGTGATGTCAAAAATGGAAAATTGATGTTAATAATTTTACAAGAGTTCTCTAAACAACTCCAAAGATATACTGCTATCTTTACACATTTGTTATCATTCAAATACATGTTCCTGGCCAGGCTGGAATTAATCTAATTAAAAATATGTATGAACAATAAGGATTAATAACAATTTTAAATTGATTGTGCTATGCCATGTGTTTCATTGGTGTGCTGACCTTCGGGTAGGTGCCCCGCAGGGCCCAACGTTGCCCTATCGTCAACTTGTCACAATGATAACCTTCATTTAAATCTCATTGAGCCCTAATTTTCTGACATTTGATAAAAAATATGTTGACTTTGTTAAACACAGGGAATAACTTTTGAGTTTTTTTTTCTCATATAAAACTAAAAACTCCTTTTTGAAAAGATAGTTTCCAACATTCAAAATTCCTTTAAGATTTCGGTTGATAATGCATTTTTTATAATTCTTATTTATTTTTTATTTTGATAACCAGGCCTCTATACCAGCGATTGTTTATTCACTTCTAAGTTAATATATTTAATATTCATCTTTTTTCCAAGGACATAAGATAAATCATCTTTTTTGTTGTTTTATTTCCTTTCTCAAAAGTTAAAACCCCATTTCTCTGAAAAATTTACTGTGAGACAAAATTTTTAAAATCAACCAAATTGAGAATTGTATGACTCTAACTGAGATAGAACAGTAATGAACATGCGTTGCTAATGAGCGAGCTTGGAAAGTGAAACGAAAACACCCATAATTCATAAATACATGGAAGTGCAATCATGAGATTCAATGACTTTTAAAATACCTGAATAGCGTGACTCGTATCATTTATCACACTTATTTTACAACTTTGATCTGATCTTTTCATTTTAGCTTTTCATGGCTTTAAATCGAATGGTAATTACCCCCTTCTCAGATTTTATCAAAAAATGAATTAAAAATAATAAATGTGTTTCGCTTATATTCACTCCAAATAGTTATTTTGATAATCCAGATTAAAAAACTATAAAATTACATTATTCTTTTGATTCTTTTGATTCTAATACAGCTAATATTCATGTAATACCTTCAAAATGGAGCAAATTTTATTCCAAAAAAAAATTCTCAACTTATGATAGGACATATGTGGGAATGATAACTATGTAAATCAAGATTCCGTTTCTCTGTTTCGCTTGCAGATTTAAGTATTGTCAAGTTTACGCCATTTGTTTTTTATGACATCTAAGCTAAAGTTCAAAACTAATTCAGGACCTGTGAGAGATTATAATTAAAGGAAGTGAATATTAGAGTCACACGCTTCGAACAAACATATAATTATTTCAAATATGTAAAGATATCATCCTCACTGATTTCAGCTGCCTCTTAAAATTAACATTTTTTGTTTATTTCACCATTTCTTAATCAACTCAGTTATCCATGACGTCTTTCTAATTTCACATTTTTGTCTCTCACTTAAAATGATCTGTTTTCTATGTAACATAATCTAAAAAGATGAAAAGTGTGAATGAGATGCGAGTTTAACAAATCTATCGTTGATTTCTCACGTTTTAATGAAATTTCTTCTAAATGCAGTTGATGTTTCTGCACAGGATAACAGCCTGAGGATAGGAGAAATTATTCAGTTGTATTCGACCAATTGTTCTCTACTATAATTGCTATATCTGCTAACTTGGAATCCTCGATACTTTTTTATGAACCTGAACTTTTTACCAAAGCCTCCCCCTCAGGGTACAATTAAAAAAGATCCCATTTTTTTCTTCTCTGAATTTATTTTAAAGCCATATTTGACATACACTACAAAGATGTCACAAGTTAATGAGGGACATTTATATTCATATGTTTCTGAAATGAGAAAAATTGAACATAATGTTGCAAGGATATATTGCTCTGAGGATTCAATCAGGCAAAACTCACAGAACTTCACCTGTTTTGGAAGTAAAAGATGAGCACTTATTGTCTTTGTCCCTTGCAAATTGTTACATCTTAACATCTTGGAGTCTTTTGTTTAATAAATATAATGGACATCAAACCTTGCAGTTACATAAACTTTCAATTAGACACACTATAATAAAACTAGAGTATTATCAAATAGAAATACCATCAATCTCCATTGATATGAATTAGTGTACTGTACTGAGAGTGACATATTTTGTGAGGGTCCCTCCCATGAATAAATATTGTATCAGTTATGGTTTTACATCCAGGAAAATGTGAAAAAGTGAAATTAGCAAGGAATAATAATTAGGCATAAAATCAACATTGCTAATTGATACAAACAGCAGAAAATAGGCATATATTGAAAATTGGGGAAATTACAAGCAATAAGATTTTGTGAATGAAATTTATGCAGAGGGCTTAGCCTCACCCCTCAGGCCAATACACAGATCATTAACCATCCACCCCTGATATCTAAATTAACTGGCATCACGCTGAGACAGTAAAAAACTTAGAAAAAGAAAATTGTGTCAGGTTACAGAGTTGGTGACCATTTGTTTCTTTTGTATATGGAGAGTTGGGAGCCAAAATGCTTGAGGCAACAATTATAGCCTTGTGTCATACTCGGGTCTGTGTATACAATACGGAGAGATAATTCTGTGGGAATCCTTCGAGTTTTGAACTTCAAAAATGTTCTTGTATGTTTTAATTATCTACTTCAGTGTCGCATCATCGTTTCATTAAACAGCACTTGCTCTGTTTTCAAAGAGGTGAGACAGCCCTAAGGTTAATCATACTCGTGATTTCAAAGTATTACTTCATAGATTAGAGATTCGATTGTTTTGTGAGAATATCTCAAATCTGAACTTAAATAACTTTCAAGGATTAATTCATTGAACTAGCTCTGCTGTCAACCTTTTTTTCATATGGCTGGTTCTTCATTTTATGTTTCTCTTTTTTTTCGTTTCAAGTGGAGTTATTCAAAGTCGATAATATGGAAGGCAGTTTTAGGATTTAATCGATTGAAATGGCAATTGATCTTAACCTGTATGTATACATGTCTATTACTCAAGCCATTCATAACTGACATCTTGCTTTTTTCTATCGACAAGATAAGCATAAAAAGTTTCGATTTTTTTGGTCCGAACAGTGGGCAGTAAATGAGGAGTTTGCGGCCTTTCTTTCCCAACATGCTCCCTGCTGGCAATGTCATATCTATGCACGTGCCGTTATGGAAAATGAAAACAATATTTCATAAAAAATTTGACAGTTCATTGATGAATTAATTTGAGATTGAAATCTGGAACTTAATTGCAATTCTGTTTCTTATAAAATGCAGAAAATTCATTACAATTTGATTTAAAAAAACTCTTATGGATCGTTAAAAATGATTATATCACGAAGATATCATCTTTACATAATAGACCTTCCTGACTGATATATGTGTGCTGTTAGAATATAAGAACAGGATTTATATATCATTATCATTACATCAACTCGCATATATCAACTCGAATATATTAACTCGAATATCGCATTGTAACGATGCAATTGCAACAAGTGGTTTATCTTAAATAACATTTTCATGAGACAAATATGGGATAGAAAATTATTTTGGAAAATATAATTGCTTACATTATTTAAATGGGAGTATTTAGAATAATATTTTATTTTATTTTTAGTATTAACAACATATGAGTTCAAATTGTAAGCAAATCATTCAAAGCAAATGCAATCTCATTTTAAAGCTAAAAATACTTTTAAGACATGGTCAATGTAAGCATGGTAATTGTTAAATAAAATTTTATTAAAATAATAAGAATGACCAAAAAACACTACATTTTTAGGCCTTTAATTTTGTCTGTGATAATTACTATTTTCATAAATGTTTTGACTTTCATTGTTCTAAATGATCCTTCTATAATGGAACATCCATTTGTATCTGACAGTTAATAGAACTGAGAATGTCAACAAACAGAAAATACAAAAGATGGTAAAAAACTGGACATATGCACGGTGAAAAGCTTTCCATACTGCCCAGTTATCACGTTACAATCTCTCCTTGAAGAACCTGTACAGATAATATCATTAAATTAAATTTCATGGAGGAATAGAAAAGATTAGAATCTTCAAGGAATATAGCATATTATAGAATATAACTGATGTTGCTTAAAATGCAGAAATTCAGATATGTTTTTAAATTTTATAGAGAAATTATGTTGCAAAAGCATGGTGAGAAATGATCTTTTAAGTTTGGGAAATGTAATTATTAAATTGGCTGGGACATGATTTGTCATTGATGGGCTAATTACTAACATATACAGATGTATACATTTGACATTTGAATCAATGATATCCAAACACAGGGATGGATTTTTTATATATTGTATTTTTATTATTCATTGAAAGACCTTGTAAATTATAATCACCATTTACTCGCACTATATCTCGCTTTCCTTTTCAATTTTGGCTATGTCTAGAAAAGCTCTAAAATATCAAAGGACATGTTTATAATTGCTTTATCAAACATTGTTTATGATTACAAACCGGCATTACTGTTTATTGTAACTGTTTTCAATTTTAAAAACAAAGAAATTTTAATATGGTAACATAATTACGGACAGCATAACTCACTGTAATTAGGATATGTTTTTTATTTTTACTTTATCTTTAACATTTATTGTCTTTGAATGTGAGATATCAAAGGTGAATACATCAAATGTAACATCTTAATCACACGCCTATAGAAAATCACTAAAATATTTGAATAGAATTAGAATTTGATTTAAACAGCATTTCAATTTCTTAAATATGTTAACTTTCCAACAATGTCGTATTGATATTTACAAATGACTTATTGTAAAGATAATCATTGAATTCTACCAGATGCTTTAACATTGCTGTTCTGGTGTTTATGCACATTTAACGAACATAATGTTATCTCAAAATCTCAAGTAAGAGAAACCTCAATTGAAGGTGACAAATGATACGTTGATAAAAAATTGAACAAGGTTATCACCTTAATATGTATAACTGTGTAACAGGTTAAGATTTAAAGTTTTTTTCAATTATATTTTTAAATTTCTAATGTTAATTTTGCCTTTTTATGGATATCTTGTCTTTATTCATTGGGGCTGTGACCAACATTCATGATTTTTTACATACTGTTCTCAAGAAAAAACTTTGAAAAGTCATTTCACAAACAAAAGTGATTGGTTGATCTATCTGTTGTTAATGCAATACATCAATATAGAATTAAGTGTTAAACTTTTGAAAAGATCCATAATGATCTACCAAAAGATCAACCATATGACGGATATTTAAAGTTTTCTCTCACATATGAAATATCTGTATCTGCCGCTACACTTCTCCCCTTTGTAAATAAACACCATCCTCTATACTTGGTGAGTCATATATCAATTCAGTTCATATAACAATTCACGCAAAATCATTTAAAATTCATGTTTGGTATGTATCATTTTGATGTGATAAATTCAATTTTCTCCAACAAAAATCAAGGACTTGAATGTTCAAAGCATTTCCACAAAAAGGTAGAAGCAGTCGTCAATTGGATGTTTACATGCTCTACACAAAACTAAACAATCAATGCACCAATGAAAATGTAAACAGCCATTCAAACAAATTAAATAGCTATCTCCTGTTAAATATCAGGAATTTTTTCATGTTTGCACACAGCAAATATCCTAAATCTCAAATCAATATAAATGTCCTGAAGCTATTAAAAAAATTGAAATATTTGAACTGTTTTTTGAAATGTGATATAAGACAATATCTAGGCTTTTATACAACACATAAAGGCACAGTTGATACAATATATAACAATACAATGCATAACAATACAATATAGAGCAGTACAATATATAACAGCTTGAAGGAAGCAACATTATTTGAAGACACTCTATGTCAAGTATCTCAAGTTGAACCCTAGTAAAATACCACACTCGGTCACCCTAAAATGCACCCAGTTTTTCTAATAAAAGGCCCTGGGATTCTAGGTAGTTCTATACAGAGACAACTCTGTTCTTTACAATTCAGGCTCTTTTTCACTGTATTTTGCATTTGAGCATGTGACCATCGTGACATTTACAGAGTTGCTTTCTCTAAAACAGCTGTATACTAAGTACACATAAATTACACAATGTACACTAAGTAAACAATGTACACTAAGTACTAAATGTACACTAAGTACACATAAAGTACACAATGTACACTAAGTACAAAATGTACACATAAAGTACACAATGTACACTAAGTACTCATAAAGTACTAAATATACACAGAGTACACATGAAGTACATAATGTACACTAAGTATACAATGTACATGTACGAGGACAACAAAGTATATAAATACTGTACTTGGAAACCAGGACTTGCTCTTGGCCAACTGAAACATCACCACACAATAAATCAATAAACAAAGGATCACAATCACAATATTAGCTGCAGTATTTTTATCAATCAGAATGTCAGAACAATATGTAGGTTAGCAAATAACAAAGTAGTTCAGCACAATCAAGGGTTCAGCAAAATCAGTGGGTCAGCACAATCAGTGGGTCAGCACAATAAATGAGTCAGCACAATCAGTGTGTCAGCACAATAAATGAGTCAGCACAATCAGTGGGTCAGCACAATCAAGGGGTCGTCAGCACAATAAATGGGTCAACAAAATCAGTGGGTCAGCACAATAAATGAGTCAGCACAATCAATGGGTAAGCACAATCAATGGATCAGCACAATCAATGGGTCGTCAGCACAATAGATGGGTCACCAAAGTCAGTGGGTCAGCACAATAAATTGGTCAGCAAAATCAATGGGTCAGTACAATAGATGGGTCAGCACAATAACTGGATCAGCACAATCAATGGGTCAGCAAAATCAGTGGGTCAGCACAATAAATGGGTCAGAAAAATCAATAGGTCAGCACAATAGATGGGTCAGCACAATCAATGGGTCAACAAAATCAATTGGTCAGCACAATAAATGGGTCAGCACAATCAGTGGGTCAGCACAATAAATGGGTCAGGACAATCAATGGGTCAGCACAATAACTGTGTCAGCAAAATAAATGGGTCAGCTTGACCAGTAGATTGGAACACAAAATATGTTAATGATCAGTGGGTCTGTACAATCAATATGTCAATAAGATCAGTGGGTTGTAATTAGGTGGGCACAATCAATAGGCCAATGTGAGTAAAAACAATCAACAAAAGACCAACCAGTAAAAACACAATCACAATCAATGTTTTTTATCTATAGTAGAGTTGAATATGACTGAAATAATAACTGGATTAGAAAAAGCAAAGAAAAATGATGACAGGTCAAAAAAGAAACTCCATAATTCCAAGATGTGCATGTTGTTTGAGAGACATACTACAGAATCGAATAACATTTTCAAATATCTACGAAGTGACAGGCTTTATAGCATGCATTTATAAATAGATGTATAATTGAGAGTTATCAAACATTAATAAAGAAATGAATTAGTCATGTGCAAACCTGGATGATAGTAAGGTGTACATATATGTATAAATAAGGTATGAATATAAGGTATAAAGGTACCAAACAACAGATTATACCACTACAAATGACATCTCTCCATTTATCAAAAAATAAAGAAATAAATTATGAAGAATTATTGAGCTCCTCCGTAATCAAACCATATATGTATGAAATGATGATTCGATCACGAGCAAGTCTACTGTTCAATGTACCCTGACAAGCGACCAAGAAACCCTGGATGTATGGTGTCAAATCATATGTATGTTCATATGAAACCCTGGATGTGTGGTGTCAAATCATATGTATGTTCATATGAAACCCTGGATGTGTGGTGTCAAATCATATGTAAGTTCATATGAAACCCTGGATGTGTGGTGTCAAATCATATGTATGTTCATATGAAACCCTGGATGTGTGGTGTCAAATCATATGTATGTTCATATGCTGAGTACGTGTATGAGCTATATTCAGAGTTATAAAGTTTGCAGTACCTCTACCTCTTGTTCTGCATGACGTTCTTGTTGTTGCCTTATTTGGCGGTGCCTTTCCTCGAATTCTCGTATCCTCTGATTATACTGTTCTATCTGATCACGGAGGATATTATCTTCTATCTAATGAGAAAAAGGGTAATATTTAATAACAGCACTAACCTATAAACCATATAAACTGATATTAAAGGATAAGGTTTAAGGAACCAATTTAGCTAAATATAATATAATGAATTTATTACTAAGTTCTCAGATTAGTTTGCTATATTATTTCTGAACCATTTAATTTTGAATTTAATTGCAGCCATTTCATTTACAATTCAATTGTTTTTATGTATTGTTAAAATAGTGCCATATACCCGTAGCCAGAGGGGGAGCTGGGGGAGCAGAAGCTACCCCCCCCCCCCCTGGCCAGAAATTCTTTCAAAATCATCCAGTTTTTCACCATACTGAGAATTTTTCGCATGATTTTTAGCCAAAATTGTGAAAAAGCTCCCTCCCCTAGAAAAAAGCTCCCCCTCCAGGTAAAAGCTGGCTACGGGCAAGTTCTTGTATATATTGTTTAATTTCATGCTGTTACCTGTGCTCTCTCATCGTCATATTGCAAGTACCCGACACCATCTAGTCGTGTTAGATCAACCCAGCCCCTCCATAGTACACACACTCCGTTGAGGATGAACTGTGACTTCAAATGGACCTAGAAATATATAAACAATATGTATCTGCAGAATACAATACTCATTATTCAGGTCAGACTCAAGTCTATGGATATTGACTCAGAAGTACATCCTTATTTCAGGATCAACTCAAAAGTCACCATTTTCAGCATATTTCCAAAAGCCATTGTCAACTCACCCCCCTCCCCTTCCCCTAGGCTTATAATCAACTCTGAATATGTTTGAAGTGCTCATGTTTAGTCAGGTCATTCTATGTTGAGATCATGTGACTTCACCACGCAGACAAAATACAAACAAACATAACGGAGAAACAATTAACAGCTAAGTGGATTTAACCTCTCATTACAGGGCAAAATTTATCTTCCCGCCTGTAGTGATTAATTAAGTTCACGCCAAGATCAATCATTACTTGAAATAAGATGGCCGTGCAACCTTATAAGGTGGTCAAAGAGGACGATAAACGCTCCTGGAGATCGAGCTGTTTTTCATTTGTTGTGGCTAGCGATAAAATAAAAATATAGTCAACCCTTGCTGGCAAGCGTAATGTCCTTATGTCAAAATCAATTAAAATTGTACGATTTTTGGACAATAAAATTATTTTCTATTTATTATGGTATATGTTTTGAAAATAACTGTATTGATAACTTCTATGAATGAACTGCTTTAAAAAGTTTTTTGTTAATTATTCAAGTTTTCTTTTGCAAGTATCATATTCCAGACATTTTATGTGCTTTTTTCTGAATGACTTTAGGTGGAGATTTAATGATTTTTTATTTGAGTTAAAGTTCATAGGGGTTATTAAAGCATGAACTTTGCTCCTGGAAAACATAAAACTTAAATGGCCTGTTGAAAACTTTTCTATCTTCATTAAATCTTTGCACTGTGACAATCTAGCTCATTTTAACACCAATGCAAACAGATTTTACGATTTTTGTATTGTGATAAAAATATATTGTTTCAAATGTTATTTCATTCACTTTGGTCTAAAAAGTGAAATTGCTTTTTAATTCATTTCAATGATAAGTGCCTTGTTGGCAATGTCATTATTAGCAATAACAAAAAGATAGAATTGCATATAATTCTACAGTATATAGTCTGTTATCAAGTTTCCATGTGTATAGTATATATCATGTGTGGTTGGGGCTTGGCCAGGGAAAAGGTCATAGAATGCCATTGTTAGAAACCTTGTCATATCTTTATTTTGCATATTTATGCCTAAATCTGAATATAGAGAAACTAAATCAAAGCTCTACTACACATGTGTTAGTTAAATAAAAGGTGAACCCATCCTATGCTTAATTAATCCTCAATCGCAAAAGTCAAAAGTTTGGATAAAAAATGAAGTTAAATGTCAATTAAAATGATATTTACTCAGAGCCGTACATCAATAAATTAAGCCTGCTTTAGGAGGTCATACTTTATCAGAAATCAAAGTGAAAAAATTGAAATTCTTTTGTTTGAGAATTATCGATTACTTCCTATTTGTTACAAGTCAGTGAATTGTCAGAGTTAGTGATTTAAACTTCTGGCCAGCCATACTTAGAATTAATGGAACAATCAGAGGGAAGATGGTTAAAATGCAAAAATGAATAAAGAGAGAGGTTGTAGTAACCTTATTGTATGAAAATGTCAGAAAGTATGGTTTGCCATTTAACATAGTCACCATAATTGGATACAAGTCATGAGATAAGTTGTCATATTTTAGAGTTAGACCTTGAGGAGGTAATTCTGCGTTTTCGCAGAAAGGAAAAGTCAAGTCGTTTCAACATTTCAATTAAATTAGTTCTAGATTTTGAACTATGTATTCCAATATATCAATGACTATGTAAATATCCACATAAGATGTGAAAATTATATTACCATATTCATTAATTATTATCATAGTTACACAAAATATAATTAAACAAATATTCTCATCATTCCATTCTTATTGAAAGGTCTTTCCAATACACATTACCTCAATGATCAACTCTTTACCTCAATGATTAACACTTTACCTCAAAGATTAACACTTTACCTCAAAGATTAACACTTTTTCAATGATTAATACTTAATATCAGTGATTTACACTTTACCTCAATGATTTACACTTTACCTCAATGATTTACACTTTACCTCAATGATTAACACTTTACCTCCATGATTTACACTTTACCTCAATGATTTACACTTTACCTCAATGATTTACACTTTACCTCAATGATTTACACTTTACCTCAATGATCAATTCCAAATTTAAATAAGTGACAGTATTTTAAATTTTGATATGGTTCATTCAAAGGCCATGTGCTATTTTGACTTAGGATGTGGAAATCATAGTGAATTGATTGAGTACATCATCTCATTTTATCTGATCACTCTATTATATTGTAAACATGTCAATTTATCTATAACTCCTTCTGGTAATTTGGAAATACAGTGAATATATACGTAGTTATCAAAAACATTAAAACAAATATCCAACAATAAACAAACAGGTCTACGAAGAAATATATAATATTTTGGAAGATGTGACCAGGTCATGTTGCTTAAACTGCAGTAACAGAGAAAAATACTCTCATACCAATAGACTTCAATGGTTCAACAAGTCCTTTAAGATAAAATAATAAAATATATGTTTTTGACAATTTTGCTGATAGGCATAATTTAGGCTGACAAACTATAGGATATGACTCAAGTAAAGCTCTTTGTTTATCTCTGTTGTTTGGACACAAATGCCACCTTAAAACCTCAAATGTGGTTCCTCAAACGCACAGTTTCAAATAAGTATTTATTCAACAAAGTTTGATGATTGTAAGAACATATGTTAACATTTTTATTTCATAAACATACATGCTGTTTCCATTTTGACATATTGTGATATGAGTTAAAAATTATTAATAATTCAAATATCAAAATTTACCAGGTTACAGCTCAAATTTGACAGATTGAAACCCCAAAAATTCATTAAATTATTATTTTAACGCAATTAAATTTAGTCTCTTGGGATAAATCAACAGTTACATGCAATAGTTACAGGCAGACCAAGAAAGATAAAAATACCTGCGTCATCAAGTAATCATGCAGATACTCTAAAATTGGTAATCTCTATGATACGGAGGATGGATTAGTGGGAGAGGTCATTTATGATGAAATTGAAACTTTTATAAACTGTTCCTTTGTGTTTATTTGTTATAAATAAAACTGACACACTTTGCATGTACACTTTACATATGTTTACTTTGCATATGTTTACTTTGCATCTTAATTAGTGAGGTTATTTTTGTCTAAAACTAGACTCTTTACTCAGGGTAAAAATTTGATAGCATGCAAGTGAAACAATTGGCCAATTGATATGGACCTAATAATTTAGATTCAGTAAAAGCATCTGTCTAATTTATCACCAATAACTAAGACACGGATGGGCTTGAGTCTCAATTGGTCAGAAATTGACCACAACTATGTGCGAGTTTGATAATATAACACTTGGGGAAACAGTTAGTGAATTGAGTCATACAACTTCCTTTAGGCTCTTACAATTTAATTATCTGTTTAGCTTGATTTTGAAGGAATGGATTGAGAAGCCAGGCTCATTCTTGTTTCACAAACTTATAAAGAAATATGGCAACATGAACAGGCACTTGAGAATCATGTTATATCTCTATGCCTCTCCTTTCATCAATGTAACTACTGCCCATGACACATTTTGATGATTTCTTACAAACGTTTTTTTAATATTTCATAATCTTAATTCATATTTAAAAGGATCAAGACTTAACAATGTTAAATTAAAAGAAAATTTTAACTAGGACTGGCCAGGCTTTTAGAATGACCACTGACCAGGCAAGTGTGATTGAGACTAAACAAATATTTGTTTTGTCTGAGCCTATACTATCTAACCTTGCCTTAGGTCCAAATAGATCTCAAACCTTTTTAGATTTCTGGTGATAAATTGTTATAAGAAATGGACCATAAATCTAAGTATAAATCTAGATATTATATTGTTGAGTTTGAAAATACATTCTTGTTGTTTCATGAAGATAAACTGGACAAATAGTTGAATGTACACTCCCCTTCATAAGTTTGGAAACCAGAAGTCTCTGATATTTCTTCACACTTGTTTTAAACCCTGTTAATGTTTGGATGTAATTCTAACACTCAGTTACCTAAAAAAGGTGTTGCCAAAGTTTTGGTGGGGGTGTGTTTGTATAAGACAGTTTACATGAACAAACACCTGATTAACAACATGTACATGAACAAACACCTGATTAACAACATGTACATGAACAAACACCTGATTAACAACATGTACATGAACAAACACCTGATTAACAACATGTACATGAACAAACACCTGATTAACAACATGTACATGAACAAACACCTGATTAACAACATGTACATGAACAAACACCTGATTAACAACATGTACATGAACAAACACCTGATTAACAACATGTACATGAACAAACACCTGATTAACAACATGTACATGAACAAACACCTGATTAACAACATCAGGCCTGTCAACTGTCCCGCAATTTGCGTATTTGTCACGCATTTGCTGAAGAATTTGAGGTCACGCCAGTTATTTTTGCGTGACAGAAAATGTCACGCAAATACGCATTTTACCTGGTAATTGTCAAGCAAAAATATATCTGTAGAAAAATTTCTAAAAAAGATCGTCTACACAGCAAAAATACGAACGCCAGGAAAAAATGTACGCATTTCGTTCGGACTTTTCACGCGAATTACGTATATGTCACGCATTCCGTTTTAAAATTTTCGTACCTACCCCCCCCATCAAGGTGTTCAGATTTGGACCAAGGTGTCCACATTTTGAGGGGAGGTGTTCAACATTTCCAAGTCACTCATGTTAGGTGTTCCCAAGTTGACAGGCCTGCAACATGTACATGTACATGTACACAGTATTGTGCTACTGTCTAGTTTTTTCTTGTATTCCTTATCACTATTTTCCTCATCATTAGCAATACAATCATTGCCATTGCGGTTTGAAGTAAATCATACTTCTACCTAAAGATATAGGTAGGTCTTTGCCTTATGTGTCATTTGAAGATGCATTCTATGAATAAGTAAATTAAAGCACTTCATTGATAAGTCTTCTATCCGAAAGTCTACATTAAGGAACAATTCTGTGCCTTATCATGTCATTGAATGTCTCTTGATTCTATAAATTAGTATCATATCTACTATCTGATTGCCCTTCTGGTATGTGATGATTTCCATTTTGTGTAATTTAAAGGGACGCCAAATTCAGGAAGGTGGTTTGAGGAAAGGGGTTTTCAAATCATGATTTTTTGTAACCTAAACTTAGCCCAATTTTTTACATATGCCTAATTTTTTAGAAACTTTACCTTAAGGATGAGCTATAGACATTATATACCTTCATAAAACCTATAAACTTATCAAATTGACTTATGAATTAATTTTATTCATCAGATTGCAGGCATAAGTACAGAAAGTGTACAGAAAATATATTCATGTATGTCAAAGTTAAAAGTATAGCAAAAAATGTTCAATGTATTTGTTTATATGTGATAAAGTCAAGTAATGTTTTAATAAAGTTGTTAAGTGCATTTCTATGGGAATACACATTGCCTTACACTATTTTCAAAACTAATAATATATTTTCAGTTCTATTACAGTAGTTGAATAAACAACTCTTTAATTTTCTTCACCATGAACCAATATTGATTTTATCTTTACTTTATCATTTCTTTTTTTCTGAAATGTGAAAAGTTTGAAATGCTGCGTTCAAGATGTCACCTAAAATAAGGAGAACAAAGTGCCAAATCAAGTATTTCATATTATTTTAATCTCATGTTGTTATTAAAGCAAATTAGGTGAAATCTACTGATAAGAAATGACCTTTAAAATTGGAAGAAAAATAAACATCAATTAAATTCAAGTGGAGCAACGCAAAAAAGCACACATTTCCTCTTTTTGGTCTCATTTTAGGATATAGCTGGAGCTAAGAATGATTAAATTCACTACTTTTTATACTTGAGAATATACCAGCTACATTTGTGAATTAATGTAAAGTAAGACCTAATTGAGTTTAAACATGCATGTATTAAATGTATTTGTATTCATGACATATGCTTAAATAAACAAGTCAATGTTATGGTTTATCATTGAAAATAGAGAAATGATATCTGATAAGATTCAGTATGCAGGCATTAAGTATATATAATGATCACCTACGTATATTACTCTTTAAAATCTCAAAACATTTTTATTTGTTGTATAGTGTACCCCTCATATGACTCAGACTATTTAATTGGTTCATTGTTTTTTGTTTGGTTTGTTTTTGTTTAACATTTGTTCTTCTAAGGTGAGAAGATCGTACCATAACAAATGAAATTCATTTAAAAAATGAATGTTAAGTTGGTTCCAAAGTTCCACATTTTGTAGCTGCGCTTCATTACAACTAAACTCTTGAGGTTCAGGGCAGAATGTTACCACCCACCCAAAGCTATAAACTCATACCCTATTAGCTGCCCGCACTGCCCTTTAACTATCACAGTTTTTGTGCTTACATTCTCTTAAAATAGTTTCAAATATGGGTTTTAATATACATATGGTATCGAATGTGAGGTACTTATAGGTAAAGGCACAGCTAATAGGACTGGGAAATAGGTAAGCGTAATACTTGCTTTGTGGTCATCTTTGTGCAGTTTGAACTGCAACGGTTATGATATGCAGAGCAACAAAACCACTAATGGGGCATTGGGAAGCAAATAAGTGAGACAAACTACAAGACTCAAGACTTTTCGGGTCAAAGTAACATCATATAAGCTGGTGAAAAAACATTGATTTAGAGGAGTTTTCAGTCCTTGTTGTTATGTTGTTGTTGTTAGGGCAACACCTGTCAATAACACCAAGTGTGTTTGTTTCTTCATCAGCACCGCCTTATTAATGTGCTGGTCTCATAAAGTGAATTTCTTAAGAATAAATTTTGTACTTATAAGAAACGGTCATTGACTACTCACATCATGAATTATAACATATTGTATTAATTGTACTTTCACCGGAACTGCCAGTATTTTCATATCAGGATCTAGACTTGATCTATGTATGCCTATACTCCTGAGAAAAATATCATTGTACCAGTCAGATTAAATTGCAAAATGAGGAGTAAACACTTGAATTAAGTGAGGAAATAAACGTTAGCAATGAAGTCAGTCAATCTGACATTGTATGGAACGATGGGTTCTTCTTCAAATTAAAGAGAAATGACATGGGATAAGTGAGCGGTGTAACTGCTGTAGGTTATTTTCAGTATGGGATAAGCTGTATTAATTCAAAGTGTATCCTTTTTATTTTCATTGACGGGTTGATTGGTGCATTCCAATATATTTCATGTGACACTCCAGACAGTAGGAAGTGATATGTGGTAAGATTAGAAGAATTAAAATGAACCCACCCTAATAAATCGAATTTTGGTTGACATTTATTTTCAGGTTGGTAAATGGTAGGACCTTTCCGTATAGAACTCCTAGTAAGTGTTTGGTTCTTGAAAGCATTTATCATTGAATGTATAGGAAACTTATTACTGCTATGTATGCAAAAAAAGTGGGGGCCACATAAGGTCAGCTAAATGAGCCTTAATTATTTAATCCTTAGAGGGCCCTTATTGTTCCCCACCCTTGTTTTGATAGTAGCCTTTTTACTTGGGGTCCCACAGTTGCTTGATTGCTCAAGCCATGATATGAGCAAAATAAATACTCACCTACTACTGTACTATCATTTGTATTGTACCATGAATTAAATATTATTGCTGGTTTTGAAAATCAGGTTGCGTCAATATAATCCAACTTAATCTCTCAACTCTAAAAATATGTTAAATTCAGTATTGTCTTGATGCTGTGAAATTCCCAATTTATTTATATTGAACAAATATAGATTTATAACATATATTTGTCATACTGCAGTAATTAATAATAAACTTACTTTTCCAACTTCTTTCTCGAAATCGAGGAATTCTTTAGTAATGACTCTCTCTTCTGGTCTGTCGCTCCACACATTGGCGAGGAAGTTCAAAACAAAATTAGTTCCTGAGTTAGTGAAGGCCTGCAGAAAAAAACAGAAAATTGTTTAGTTTTTAGCATCTCCTGCTGTATTGTCACTAAATAAGACAATAACTGACTTAAATATAAGATGATTTAAATATTAGATGGCATTAATATAAGATGATATAGCACAAGGTTTGGTGTGTACATTATCAATTTATAATTGATCAAAATATTGGATTATGTAGTATCATAAGATGTTGTGAGATATAAGATAAGATTATGAAAATACACAAATCTCAAGTGGATGCAGAATTCTCATTTTCACAATTCAGACCAAAATTGGTCACATTATGCCCATTTTTCATAATTTTTTTTTCATTTTCAAGTGGGTACAAATGGATTTTCAGGTGGGTGCAAGCCTATTTTCAAAATTTCAGGTGGGTGCTGTGCTACTTGCTTTAATGCTGGGGAGATAACTGAATTATGTGTCTAAATGAAGGCAAAATCCTTTGCTGCTTGATATTGAGCAGTGATGTCTTCAATTCAATATTTTCCCAAATTATTTTTGCCATCACTCCATCTTTTAACAGAATGAATTTGCCATTATGAAATACAAGAACAACTTTGGATTTTATTGGTTTTACTACGTTGAGGGCCAAAGCCTCTTTTAATCAAGCAAAATCAACTGAAGGGTTATAGTTACATGTAGTCTAGCTTAACAATCCCTGTGACCCCCCCCCCCTGTTCACATATTATACATGTTCTGGCTTTGGCATTGGTGGTTGATCTCTGTCTGTAACAAATTGTTACATACATATATTTCAAACCAGATAGTGACATTTTTTCATATTGATGCATCGTCCTTGTGTTGAATGCCCTTTCATATCGCTCACTATTGTGTTGGATGCCCTTTCATGTTGCTGATTGTGTGTTGAATGCCCTTTCATATTGCTAATTATTGTATTGAATGTCCTTTCATATTGCTAATTATTGTGCTTAGTGCCCTTTCATATTGTTAATTATGTGTTGAGTGTCCTTTCATATTGCTAATTATTGTGTTGAATGCCCTTTTATATTGCTGATTATTGCGTTGAATGCCCTTTCATATTGCTAATTATGTGTTGAATGCCCTTCATATTGCTCACTATCGTGTTGAATGCCCTTTCATATTTCTCATTGTGTGTTGAATGCCCTTCATATTGCTCACTACTGTGTTGAATGCCATTTCATATTACTACTTTTATGTTGACTGCCCTTTCATATTGCTGATTATGTGTTGAATGCCCTTCATATTGCTTATTGTTGTATTGAATGTCATTTCATATTGCTAATTATGTGTTGAATGCCCTTTCATAGTGCTAATTATTGTGTTGAATGCCCTTTCATATTGCTAGTTATTGTGTTAATTGCCCTTTCATATTGCTAATTATGTGTTGAATGCCCTTTCATATTGCTAATTATGTGTTGAATGCCCTTTCATATTGCTAATTATGTGTTGAGTGCCCTTTTACATTGCTTATTATTATGTTGAATGCCCTTTTATATTGCTTATTGTGTTGAATGCCCTTTCATAATGTTGATTGTGTGTTGAATGCCCTTTCATATTGCTAATTATTGTGTTGAATGACCTTTCATAATGCTGATTATGTGTTGAATGCCCTTTCATAATGCTGATTATGTGTTGAATGCCCTTTCATAGTGCTAATTATTGTGTTGAACGCCCTTTCATAATGTTGATTGTGTGTTGAATGCCCTTTCATATTGCTAATTATTGTGTTGAATGCCCTTTCATAATGCTGATTATTTGTTGAATGCCCTTTCATATTGCTAATTATTATGTTGAATACCCTCTCCATCTTTGCATGCTTGATCCTCAACATTCATATAGCTAGACATTATGCAGATATTTTGATGTTGAATGCCTTTTTTAGTATTCATAGTAGTATTTTATTGTTGAATGCATGCCCTTTGATATTTCAATTTACTGTCCTGTTATGACATTAATTAAGTCAATAAAAGATATATGCCATACATATATGATTAGTAAGGTCTCCAGGTAACTAAATTGATTTCTATTTTTATAATTGAAGCCAATGCATGTCAAAATGAGAGAAAATTGAGATTCGGGCATCCTCCAGACAGGGCTCCAGACATTGTCCATTCACTTCCCTGCTTTTCCTCCCTGGGGCCCTGGATTTGGAGGATGCACCAGGGAGGGAGGTTTTGGAAATCCATCAAATAGGCAGACATCATACCCTAATTGTCAGAGTCTAGAACATTAGATAGATGTAGATTTATAGTAAAGAAGTAAAAGTCAAACAATTGGAAAGCATCACTAAACATGGATGTATTTTATTTGTAAGGGATTGAGAAAAATATTTATATGATATTTGTAAGGTTTGAGATAACGTTCATTTTATTTGTAAGGGATTGAGAACATGTTCATTTTATTTGTAAGGGATTGAGGTACCATTCATTTTTTATTTGTAAGGGCTTGAGATGATATTCTTTTATTTTTAAGGGACTGAGATGATATTCACTTTATTTGTAAGGGATTGAGATAATGTTCTACCCAATGTAAGCCTGGTAAGTTCTGATATGAACAAAACACAGGACATATTTTAGATGTTTTTGTACATTGTTAACTTGGAATGTGTTATTATCTACATGTAATATTTAACTTTGCATTTGGTTAATGTTTATAGCACAACAGGCAACCTGACCCTTGATACTGTTGGGATTCTACTGAAAGCATGGCCTTTCAATAGAACATTTAAAACATATATTTTGATTGACTAAAGGAACTGTATCTACAGGTGAAATATACATGTGATATGATGGAAAGTGAAGTTGGGAAAAGTATACAAATTCTATGTTTAGTTATGAGGAAAGGATTGGTTAAACTGGTAAAATCCTTTATCCTAAAACCACAAATATGCTGTATATTGCAAAAACAGCATTTGGTATTAATTTTCACTGTTAAGACATTTATTTTAGGAATTTTAAGGAGGAAATACTTTATTTCAGCATTTAAGATATGCTTATCCATGCAACATAACGTAATATATGACTATAAGTAACCACAATAGCCTGTGTGAGCATATGGTATCCAGTAACAATATTATAGTCAGGGTGCAAAGAATCAAATAAGATATTGTAAGTGTTGACTTCCACATGTTTAAACAGACCCTTGGACTATAAGCCACATCATTCCATCTGTTCTCTTTGATATGATTTGATATAATATAATTTTTTTATGATAATAATATGATGTAATATGATGACATGATATGATTTCATATACAAATAAAATAGTTAAATTCTTGCATTTATAAAATCATGTATTTGTTTGCAATTGCTTGTTAACATTACTCTTTTCAACTATAATAGGTTGTGTTGTATTAATTATTGACTTGTTTACCTGCAAAATTGGATGAACTAAGAATATTTAATTCAATATGTTTGATTTGACATATGCGTTTACGTAACTTTGTTATATTTAAAGTTGTTTTGTTTACTGTCTCATGAATATTATATTTACTACTGTATTACTATACTGTATTACTGTATTTTATTTACTACTGTATTACGATACTGTATTGTATTTACTACTGTATTACTGTATTATATTTAATACTGTATTACTAAACTGTATTACTGTATTGTATTTACTACGGTATTACTATACTGTATTACTGTATTGTATTTACTACTGTATTGTGTTTACTACTGTATTACTATACAGTATTACGATACTGTATTGTATTTACTACTGTATTACTGTATTGTATTTACTACTGTATTACTATACTGTATTGTATTTACTACTGTATTGTATTAACTACTGTATTAGTATTACTATTTACTACCGAATTGCTATATTGTTTTACTACTGTATTGCTGTATTATATTTCCTATTGTAGTTACTACTGTATTACTAGTACAATACTTCTAAATTATTGGATGTGTTTACTTGAAGTTTGAAGTACATAATAAATTTATGAAATTTTTATTAAAATAAAATCATTTTGTTGTTGACATTAAATGGGTGCATGATTAAGTGTGTCTAACTGACATCATAATATACTCTGTGATATCAAAATTACACCACTTACTCCGTATCAAAACAAAACCACTTCCTTTATATTATCAGAATATGTCTAAATTTGACATGATCAATGATCAGTATAACCCAGTCAATTGACCATTTGAATATTATCAAAGAATATATCAAGTTTTGACCTCATTCCTTTTAACCAAAATATCAAAATCGACAAAGAATGTTAAGAATACATGTAAGTGGACAGTATAGTTTATAGGTATCGTATAGGCATGTAAGATTTTAATCACTAAGAAGATATTTTAAGAATTTGGGAAGAGGAGTGACTGTGCATACACATGAAATAATAGAAATGAAACTACAGTGTAGATCTATCACCAATAACTGTTAAAGTGATATATTCAGACTCACTGCACTAGTGTAGATGTGTTTCAATTTCTTGATTACATCCATTAAGTTATTCTTTCTGGCATTTATTTGAGACAGAGACATGACTTTATCGTGTTAAAAAGTACAACATCACATGTTACCTTTATAATTTAGATGCATTCTAGATCAAAGGTATGATTAGATTCAATGAAGGTTGTTTTCAAAGATTGCTCAATGTGCCTTGAAATTGTGAAATTGTAAATCAACAAAAAATTAAAAACAGTTTATTTGACTCATTGACTAAAACATAACACCCTCTCTTCTGGGTCTTACTCATGGCCACTCATTGGCCTGCTGTCTTTCAGCTCTTACTCTTTAGTGATAACATTACAAATCCTGTTCTTAGTCTAACTAAATTATAGGATTAGTGTTCACTTGATTCAAATGTTGGTAAGATCATTTGATGACTCATACGAGAATTATATAATACAAGGTGTATAATTGATTGGTCAGCTGTTAGTTTTGGAAATGGATGGAAGTACTGGGTTAAGTAGGGTCAATCAGTACACTTTGATATCATCGTATTTATTTTAGTGCGTAAATAACTTGAGGAACTTACAATATCAGCGTGTCCTTCTCGTACATCTGCTTCAAATCTTGCTTGTCGTTCGTGGTGTGGCCTATCCTTATATCCAGTAAAGCGTATCTGAAATAATCCAAAGAAATGTGAGATCTGTAGATGGTTATCCACATGACATGTGCTCAGAAAAATTACTACAATTAACTCTTAACTTCCGGGTACAAGTGATATTGCGTACCTCCGATTCACGGCTTAATTTTCTGAAAAATTCGTCGTTCTCAAACTTTGATCGCTGGTCTGGTACCACTCTGGGCATCTTGTACTTCAGGAATGGTTTGAGATCCAGAGAAAACGTGTCTGGTGCAACTGGAAGCATCGTCAAACTATCTTTCATTCATGCCAAACCACAACACAACACGAGATCTCAATTTCGTACTACTCATCGTTGATTGGTCAATATTTTAATTATTGTTCGTGTATGTCCGTCGGTTACCATATAAGGATATATTCGTTAACGAGTCATCATTCGGAAGTAAACGTCATTTTCGTACAACCAATGATCAAAGGTATGCAAATGAGATACCATATACGGGATGACGTGCAGTTATTATGCACTGAAATGTATTTTGAACACGTGGTATCTTACCTAAGTCTATAACATACATAATACACTTCTCATCAATGCCTTTCCAGCGTTTATTAATTTGTACACCCTCGGAATATGTATACACTGCGTCAGTATTAAGCTGTGACATTAAGTAGATACAAATGAACGTATTGTTTTTAATCATACCAAGTCAACCATAATCCAGAACATACACTCACAGTAAACAATTTACTCCTGGGTTGAGATTTTTCATCTTAGATTTTCTCTATCAAGAAACTTTGGGACCTTGACTGGCTTGAAATATCTTGGGAAATATCTGTCACTAACACTGGATTTTCAGTTGTCATATCGTGTCATAAGTCTGTGAATGGCGCACTGGCGGATCTGGGCCCTGCCCCCTCCCCTTGGGTGGGCCCAGAAAAAATTGGGCACAAAAAAGGCCATAAGGCCCCGAAAAGTGGGCCTCTTTGATCATTACTGGGTCTTTTAAGCCTTATTTTTTAAATTTTAAGCCAAATTTGAAGAAAATGAGCCTCATATGTTCTAAATGTAGGCCCAATTTTTGGTTCTAAGGGCTCAAATTTGTTTTACTCAGACCTGAAGTTTGGGCCACCTCCCTTGTTGGTTCCAAGATCCGCCCCTGTGGCATACTCGGGGAATATTCATAAAGCAGCAAAGCATATACAGACACTGGGCATTACTAACACTAGTACACTGGGGGATTTTTAAATATTTTATTTTACTGTATACCCGGTGTAAAAGGGTAGGAGTCCTATTGATTTATGGTCCTACTCTCCATTGATTTATATGGTGACCTCTTTGTGCTCTTTCCCTTATTATCTCATACACAATCAGGGCCCGTAAGGGCCTTTAAAAGGGGGGACCATAATCCCTGGGGGACCATAATTTCTTTCACACCGGCCCACCCGCCATCCCAATACCTGGTGTGAAAGAAATGATGGTCCCCCAGTCCCCCAGGGATTATGGTCCCCTTTCTTAACGGCCCTTACTGGCCCTGATTGCGTATAAGATAATGAGGGAAAGAGTTGTATTTAGGTCACCATATAAATCAATGGAGAGTAGGACCATAGTTTGATAGGACCTGCTCCTACCATTTTACACCTGGCATCAGTCAGAGGAGGTCCGTCGTAAGGGTAAATGAGGACCAACAGAGCCTCCCCCCTCCCTCTTCATATCTGTCATGATCATTATCCTTATTGATAGTTTGAATATCTGTAATCCAATTATCAAGCGATATTTAGAAATAGCAAGACTAGCAACAAGCAAGGACGTTTTGGATATAGGTCTTTCTGCAAGAAGTCAGCACAAGATGGGCATAAAACGACGATTCTCGGGGTTTTCTGTTTCGTTCAGTGCATCACCACTGCGCATGCGTTATAGAATAAAAATGAAATTTTGAAAACAATGAATTTTTCTCATTATATTGTCCTTTTCTACTTCAATGAAGCGAAGTGAACATAGTTTTTCAATGTTGTAATGCAGAACTAGTCCATTTGAAATGTTGGACCTTGAAGTTCAGCCTGAAAGGTCCCTAGGGAACGAGCAATGGGAGTTCATTTTAGGTGAGTTTGTGTCGTCATTTTTTGTTTTTATTTTTCGATTTTCATAATATTTTCCAGGCCATATAATATGATCGTTTTATTTTCTTGAAAATATATTAAATGTATCGGAATCATTGAAAAACAAAACTGTGAACAAAACAATTCCACGAAGAATTTATTCTGTGATTATTGGAATGCATATGTCATAGATTTGTTATTGTTTTGTTTGATGTCCTTGACATATATAATCAGCTGTTTTCTGTTTATTATGAAGTGAGGTATGTAGCAATTTAAAAAGAGTGAACAAAAAATAAAGTGAATTTCCTCATTCTTTGATACTCATCAAATCTTCACTAGAAATAGGATATTGGACACTTTTAGCATGGTTTTAATTTGCCCAAAAAGTTACGAAGTGTCTGGAGAACCTTAAATTTTAAGGCTATTTAGCCAAAATGCTAAAGAGCCTTAAAAATTTAATGCTATTTATCTGTGAACATTGTATTTTGGCTAGAGAGCCTTGGGGTTTATAATCCATGTTTATATTGTTTTTTATTGATGTTTACGCAATCTAGACAATAAAACAACAGTCTCTAAGTTTTTCGACACAGAATGCCACTTAAAAATATTACACATGTATATCACTACTTTTCATCTTTCAATGAGAGTTGGATTAGTAGGAAAATAACACGCCGGGAGAAGGTTGTATTTTTTGTTTTCGTTTTTATTTACTGTTTTATTGGTGAAATTAACAAACAAATAGGTAAATCAAATGCTTTATTGACGTTAAATAAATGTAATAATGTTACAAACAAACAAATGGTTTACATAACACAGCCAGCATTCTATTCAAACTTGGCGTATTTATTTCACATGCTCTTAGAAATCAAACAACTTATATAAGGAGCCCTATTTACGAGTCGAGTAAAAAGTGATAATGTTCTTTTTATGAAGTGGGGAAGTCAAAACAGTTCTTATAGGAAGTCATAGTTAAGCATTCGAAGATCATTTAGAAGCATTTAAAATCAAATCCACAGCAAAATTGAAATTACTGAAATCTTTGTATGTTTCCTTCTTCGTCTTCATCATCATCATTTGGATACACGATTGATCAATTTTACTGATCATTATATCGCGGGTTAGTACGAGAAAGTTAAAACATGAACATCAACACAAGTTCATGAGCTAAAAACAGTGTTAGGTAATAAAAAGCTAAAACAATAGGTTAAAAGACAGTATAAGATTAAGGCATGGGTGTAAGGTAGTGAGCCCTTAGACTAGTCTTGAACTGGTCTAAGCTCTCTGCCAATACAATGCTGTCAGGTAGTATATTCCACTCAGGTATGGTGCGTGGGAAAAAGGAATGGAGCATTGCATCCTTCCTGCAACTGTACCTCTGGAAGCTCTCACTATTTGAAGTCCTTGATCTGCGCTGGAGAGGCATGAGGTATGTGTCTGGTTGGATTGCAACAAGTTGTTGTTTGATCTTATACATCATCGTCAACCGTTGTTGCTGTCTCCTCGTTTCAAGTGGTGTCCATTGTAGTGTATTCAGCATTGTTGTCACCGAGCTGTAACGACTGTAGTCATTCATCACATAGCGTGCAGCTCTTCGTTGGGCCATTTCTAGTGCAGCTATGTGGGTTTGGGTGTGTGGATCCCATACAGCAGCAGCATACTCCAGTCTTGGTCTTACTAGAGTAAAGTAAGCCATCTGCTTTGTGTGGCGAGGGGCCTTCCACAGGTGTCTTCTCAGCATGCCAAGAAGTTGGTTGCTCTTGGATATAGACTTGTCTATGTGCTGGTTCCATTTGAGGTTGTCTTGTAAGGTAACACCAAGGTAGCTAGCAGATGGTATATGCTCCAAGGTGTGTCCACTCATTTCATACTTGTAGATTTTGGGATTCAACTTGGCAGACAATGCAGTACATTTGTCAGGATGAAACTTCATCAGCCAAGTTTTCTCCCATTCTACAGCTGCAGTCTTCTTCATGGACCTCAGAGAAAACACTTCCGGTTTAATAATCAGTGAGTTTATTGATCAAAAATATATTTTTATGAATTTATCCGGTATCTGCTTAAATATGGTATGTAAATTTGTGTTGATTGTTAAATTACAAAATAGGTTGGGTAAAGAAAATGTCAAAGTTGTTTGATCTCGTCCCAGAAGCAATATTTTGTCATTTCCGTCGCATAGAATTCCTTTAAGGCTCTCTAGCAAAATTGGCAATCAAAGAGCCTTAAAATTTAAGGCTCTTTAGCCAAAATACTAAAGAACCTTAAAATTTAAGGCTCTTTATCCAAATAGGTTACCAAAATGCTAAAGAGCCCAGCCACGGCCAAAAAGTTAATGATTCTCCATAAACTCTAAACTTGGAGGAAATGAATATGTCACTGTTTCTCACTTTTTTGTGATTTTGAAGTCACATCTGCACTTTACAGTTCAAGTTCAACTAAAGTTGCCTCACTGACCTTTTATTGTGTACAGCGAGTGTAGTGAAAGTACATATACTATAACGTTCTATAGAATAAGTGATTTATAATTTCAATCATTTATTGTATCATCATTCTTATGATTCCTTATATTCAAACGTAGATAATACCCAAATGAAAAATGAAATACCTTAGTAATCTTAGTAGGTTGTCACATAATCCAGGAAATCCCCAAAAAATATTCTGCTATTTTGAACTAATGTATACTGTGTTCTGTCAGTACAAGCCATGTGCCAATCCTAGAAACTTCAATTGCACGCGCTGTGAAGAAATGATGCAAAATAAACTTTCACATCCTTGTAAATATAGGATCCATACAGACCAAAGGAGCTTACCATGTTCCGTGGTTTAATGAATCTTGATCAGAGCTAACCAATGACGTTGTGATGCATAATTATTATTATTTATATTGCATGTTGTTATACCGCCTACTCACTTCTCACCAATGAGATTATATCGGCAAAAGCCCTACAGTTTAATGCATACTGGGTTGTTGGGGAATTGTGTTGTGAACATGCTAAATAGTACCAGAGTTCTTGAGCTGATTAAACTTTGACTGCTTTCTAGGTAAAAACATCAACATTGTAAGAATTCAGCTGGACATGTTCTTAATATTGGCCTTTAGAATTATCTACTCTGTCAGTCTCTCCATCATAAGTTCTGTCTTAGATGTTCTTCCAAATTTGCAAATTAAAAAGTGAACCCAATGTTTCCAAAAATTCCTGATTTTTTCTCCCCTATTGTTGTACCATATTCTGCGCATTCAGTGGTACAACCCTTGGGATTTGTTCACCCGAATAGCTCAGTGGTAGCGCATGTGCCTCTTAAACTATAGGTGCTGAAATGCGATCCCCGGTTCAGGCAAGACCTCATTTGCTTGTTTGAGTGAAGTACTTCATGGTGTTTGACTGAGTGTTCCACAACTCGTATAAAAGGCTGTGTTATTATTATAATATCTTGGTTACCGCCATATTTGGCGAGCAATACCTCATTGGTATATTCTGTATTTTACGTATTTTACACTCGAAGAGAGAGAGACAGAAACCCCTCCTTGGAGGAGCCCTGTGTTCTTTTGTGTGGACAGATACACAGACATACAGGTACACACCACAGCCTTTTATACGAGTCGTGAACCACTCAGTCAAACACCCAGAATTATATAGCGCACAAACAAACTTGTCTGAACCGGGAATCGAACAAAATAAAATACAATACATTAATATCAATTACAGAGCTTACTATTTGAACCTTTTACACCCCTCCTACCATAAAATCAATTAAAATGTACTTAGCTATCCTTCATAGATTTTGTAGTGTTACCTAAGTTTGTATTTACAAATGCAACTACATGTAATGGTTAACTTATACACACAGGTGATGATGATATACTTATTTACCTTGGTGAAGTTGAATCTGCTAAATGCTGGATAATTCAAGGGTGTGGATATATCATACACAGTGTACCCCCAAAGAAACAGGACAAGTACTGGTATTTTGTGAAATCTGCACCAAATTTTCAAATGACCTACTTTCTTGTTTAAGGGCTAAAAGGGCAATTGAAGTTGAATTGAAGAAAATATTTTATGAAGTGCTGTTAGAGCAGTTGCCATGGTAACATGACATCACATCACCAGTGGCAACTTTTCATCAATTCAATTCAATTTCAAAGTAATTTAATTTCACTTCTCATACAGTAATAATGCATAGAATATACACTGCTCCGACAGCCTGAGGGGTGTATAACATTCATAAAACTGATGACAATTGAATAATAATATTTTAATACCAATACATATGTACTGATGCTGTATTCTCCATGTTGGAAGAAATGTCATTTGAGACGATGCAATTTCATGAAAAAATCGAGTTTCATAACTAATTATCCATCTACTAAAAACCCAGTATTCTTTAGGCCTCTGCATCCTTTTATAAGGAGTTAGGTTGTAGCATATGCAGGCCATGCAGCCTTCTCTCCTGTTTGTGAACCTTTTCGGAACAAGTCAGCTAATGAGTTTGAGGCCAAGCTGAAGTCTCATTATTCCAGTTTTCACCTAAACAGAACCTGTTTCATGAAGTAAGAGTGTGACCGGATAGGAACAGATAATTAATAGGATTTTGTTTCATTGCTAATTATTTGGACATATCTGATGCTTTGTTACCATAGCAACAATTATAAGAAGAGAGGTTTGTGGATGTTTTTGAATTTTTGCACCTCTGAAGTAACACTACATGAAAGTTATGTAAAAACACTGTAAGTGAAGTATTAACAAAAAGGCAGCACCAGTCCTGTTATTTTTGGGACACCCTGTATATATTTAAACATTAACCTATTTATTCTATTCTCCTTATATTGATTAAGAAATCACACGATGATGAATGCTGCTGATTCACAGAGCACCTCCACAAATGTCCAAATTATCTACTGATTAACTACAAGCTAATACACATCATAGTGTGACCTGCAGCAGACAGTGCTATGTCTCATTGAGAAATTACCTCAAATTATTTCATCATAATTTTCATTTCCTTCATTTCTTTCCAATTTGATGTCATTTTTGATGAGCTTCTTGAACCACACAATCTTTTTACAACCTTTCATGTCTTTGTAATTTGTGGTGCACGTGTAAGAATCTATCTGATTTATGTCATATGATAAAATTAGGGATGCGCGTATAACTTGCATTCTAGTCCCATAAATATAGTTTGATACAGATAAGTACGGCATTATCATACAAAGAGGGGAATCACTACAGAAAGGTTTTGGCTCATTTAATAGACTATATGGGAGTAGAAATAATCTTGATTTACGTCATCAAATATTCAAAATTCAGTTAAAGCGATCATATTTAAAATCCACGTGTAAAATTACATCTAGAATTGTGGTTTCAAAAATTGATCATCAACTTTGAAAAATTTAATTTTCTTTAATAATGTGACTTCTTTGTTACAGAGATTCCCCAAAGACCCCATGTTATAAAATCACAAAAAGTGAATATCTTTTCTTTTAGTATAGACAGATAATATTTTGTTTTACTCAGGACATAATTTCATTTGTATAACTATCAGATACATAAGGGTAATATGAAAAATTGATCCTCTAAAACTGATGAATATTCAAGTTTAAGAGAACTACTGTATCTGTTGTATTATCTTACCCAAATCAGCCACCTGGTGATCATAGTTGTAACTACCTACTGGCATCTGGGTTATTGACAAAGGACACTGTTACATTGAAGATATGATACCCCATCCTTTGTTAACAGTTGAAGGTATATCCCATGATTGACATTTGATGGGATACCTAAAAAAATCATTTTCGAATCTTAAATATTTTATGATATACTGTATCTGTTTTTTTTTTACTTTCCAGGCATGCCCTTCCACCAGGCAGTTGCCATAACACAGAGGCAAGATAGACTCGTTAAAGGTGTGCAAGTTTGGTACAGTGACCAAGTAAGTATACAATGCCAGACTCTTAAGACTGTCCTGACAACACAGTGACCTCCCAGCATTAAAGTAATTGGGCATAGCACCCACCTGAAAATCCATTTACACCCACTTGAAAATGAGAAAAATCATGAAAAATGGGCATATTTTCACCTGAACTTTGGTCTGAATTGTGCAATTGACAATTTTGCACCCACTTGAGAAAAAATCCAATGGAGATCACTGCAATATATATATCTGTAATAGCAATGTCTCATGGCTATGACTATGATTTATATAAACTTGTCATTTTCAAGTAAATCCCATGTATTATATTTTAGACACCTCTACAGATGGACCTAGTGATCAGTCTCTCCCAGGATGGTATAAGGCTCATATTTGACCCTGTGCTTCAGAGATTAAAGGTATGAAACACAATAATTTTGTTTATTACAACTATAGTCTCCCTGTGTAAATGTCCTAGCCAAATATAGTCCCTATGTGTAAATGTCCTAGCCAGATATAGCCCCCCTGTGTAAATGTCCTAGCCAGATATAGTCCCCCTGTGTAAATGTCCTAGCCTAAAATAGTCCCCCTGTGTAAATGTCCTAGCCTAATATAGTTCCCCTGTGTAATTGTCCTAGCCAGATATAGTCTCCCTGTGTAATTGTCCTAGCCAAATATAGTCCCCCTGTGTAAGTGTCCTAGCCAAATATAGTTCCCCTGTGTAAATGTCCTATCAAATATAGTCCCCCTGTGTAAATGTCCTAGCAAAATGTAGTCCCCCTGTGTAAATGTCCTAGCCAAATATAGTCCCCCTGTGTAATTGTCCTAGCCAGATATAGTCTCCCTGTGTAATTGTCCTAGCCAAATATAGTCTCCCTGTGTAATTGTCCTAGCCAGATATAGTCTGCCTGTGTAATTGTCCTACCCAGATATAGTCCCCCTGTGTAATTGTCCTAGCCAGATATAGTCCCCCTGTGTAAATGTCCTAGCCAAATATAGTTCCCCTGTGTAAATGTCCTAGCCAGATATAGCCCCCCTGTGTAAATGTCCTAGCCAGATATAGTCCCCCTGTGTAAATGTCCTAGCCTAGAATAGTCCCTCTGTGTAAATGTCCTAGCCAAATATAGTTCCCCTATGTAAATGTCCTACCAAATATAGTCTCCCTGTATAAATGTATTAGCCAAATAAGGTTCCCCTCTGAAAATGTCCTAGCCTAATATAGTCCCCCTGTGTAAATGTATTAGCCAAATATAGTCCCCCTGTGTAAATGTATTAGCCAAATAAGGTTCCCCTCTGAAAATGTCCTAGCCAAATATAGTCCCCTGTGTAATTGTATTAGCCAAATAAGGTTCCCCTCTGAAAATGTCCTAGCCAAATAAAGTCCCCTGTATAAATGTATTAGCCAAATAAGGTTCCCCTCTGAAAATGTCCTAACCAAATATAGCCCAATTGTGTAAATGTCCCATGTGGTTTAAAAAAATCATATGTCAGAATGATGTATTTATGGTTCATTAACTTAATTATTTACGTTTGACGACTTTCAATGCATGATAATGATAACAGTAATGTTGAATATGATTCAAGGCAATCAAGGATATCATTTAATAAAACAGACTAATGTTTAAGACTACTTATTGAAGTTAGCAATCACACTATAATATATCACAGTTATAGTCATGTACATATGGTCCATACTGAAGGTTTATATCATAATCAAACAGACTATTAGTTTAAGACTATTGAAGTTAGCATTCACCCTATAATATATCACAGTTATAGTCATGTACATATGGTCCATACTGAAGGTTTATATCGTAATCAAACAGACTATTAGTTTAAGACTATTGAAGTTAACAATCACACTATAATATATGACAGTTATAGTCATGTACATATGGTCCATACTGAAGGTTTATAATTAATCAAACAGACTATAAGTTTAAGACTATTGAAGTTAACAATCACACTATAATATATGACAGTTATAGTCATGTACATATGGTCCATACTGAAGGTTTATATCATAATCAAACAGACTATTAGTTTAAGACTATTGAAGTTAGCATTCACGCTATAATATATCACAGTTATAGTCATGTACATATGGTCCATACTGAAGGTTTATATCGTAATCAAACAGACTATAAGTTTAAGACTATTGAAGTTAGCATTCACCCTATAATATATCACAGTTATAGTCATGTACATATGGTCCATACTGAAGGTTTATAATTAATCAAACAGACTATAAGTTTAAGACTATTGAAGTTAACAATCACACTATAATATATGACAGTTATAGTCATGTACATATGGTCCATACTGAAGGTTTATAATTAATCAAACAGACTATAAGTTTAAGACTATTGAAGTTAACAATCACACTATAATATATGACAGTTATAGTCATGTACATATGGTCCATACTGAAGGTTTATATCATAATCAAACAGACTATTAGTTTAAGACTATTGAAGTTAGCATTCACCCTATAATATATCACAGTTATAGTCATGTACATATGGTCCATACTGAAGGTTTATATCATATTCAAACAGACTATTAGTTTAAGACTATTGAAGTTAGCAATCACGCTATAATATATCACAGTTATAGTCATGTACATATGGTCCATACTGAAGGTTTATATCATAATCAAACAGACTATAAGTTTAAGACTATTGAAGTTAACAATCACACTATAATATATGACAGTTATAGTCATGTACATATGGTCCATACTGAAGGTTTATAATTAATCAAACAGACTATAAGTTTAAGACTATTGAAGTTAACAATCACACTATAATATATGACAGTTATAGTCATGTACATATGGTCCATACTGAAGGTTTATATCATAATCAAACAGACTATTAGTTTATGACTATTGAAGTTAGCATTCACCCTATAATATATCACAGTTATAGTCATGTACATATGGTCCATACTGAAGGTTTTTATCATATTCAAACAGACTATTAGTTTAAGACTATTGAAGTTAACAATCACACTATAATATATGACAGTTATAGTCATGTACATATGGTCCATACTGAAGGTTTATAATTAATCAAACAGACTATAAGTTTAAGACTATTGAAGTTAACAATCACACTATAATATATGACAGTTATAGTCATGTACATATGGTCCATACTGAAGGTTTATAATTAATCAAACAGACTATAAGTTTAAGACTATTGAAGTTAGTATTCACCCTATAATATATCACAGTTATAGTCATGTACATATGGTCCATACTGAAGGTTTATATCATATTCAAACAGACTATTAGTTTAAGACTATTGAAGTTAGTATTCACCCTATAATATATCACAGTTATAGTCATGTACATATGGTCCATACTGAAGGTTTATATCATATTCAAACAGACTATTAGTTTAAGACTATTGAAGTTAGCAATCACGCTATAATATATCACAGTTATAGTCATGTACATATGGTCCATACTGAAGGTTTATATCATAATCAAACAGACTATAAGTTTAAGACTATTGAAGTTAACAATCACACTATAATATATGACAGTTATAGTCATGTACATATGGTCCATACTGAAGGTTTATAATTAATCAAACAGACTATAAGTTTAAGACTATTGAAGTTAACAATCACACTATAATATATGACAGTTATAGTCATGTACATATGGTCCATACTGAAGGTTTATAATTAATCAAACAGACTATTAGTTTAAGACTATTGAAGTTAGCATTCACCCTATAATATATCACAGTTATAGTCATGTACATATGGTCCATACTGAAGGTTTATATCATAATCAAACAGACTATTAGTTTAAGACTATTTAGAAGTTAGCAATCACACTATAATATATGACAGTTATAGTCATGTACATATGGTCCATACTGAAGGTTTATATCATATTCAAACAGACTATTAGTTTAAGACTATTGAAGTTAGTATTCACCCTATAATATATCACAGTTATAGTCATGTACATATGGTCCATACTGAAGGTTTATATCATAATCAAACAGACTATTAGTTTAAGACTATTGAAGTTAGCATTCACGCTATAATATATCACAGTTATAGTCATGTACATATGGTCCATACTGAAGGTTTATGTATTTGGATATTTGGGATACAAGGTTTGTGCCAAGGGACATATGACATATTTCCCAGGGGATAAATCCTGAATCCAAAATGGGATTGATACAGTTGTATTTCCTCGACCATGGCAATTGCGGGATGCATCCAGAAATATCCATCTCACTCCTGAGATACATTATATATTCCTGCATGATATGTACCTAGAACCTCAGTAGGTATTGGATACATATCATAATCTTATAGACTATTAGTATAAGACAATTATATAACATTCGCAATCTAAATATAATTGCAAAGTAGCACATTATAAGTTTCTTTGCACAGGATTAAAACAGATCATTTGTTTTGAGATGTAGTGTCAATTAGCATTGTTCTAATGTTTTGCACTAGGCAGTTATTACCAGAAACAATTACTTGCGATATTAATTCAACAATAAAATATATTTACCGCAGTTGTAATTTTAAATATCAATCGGCCTATGTTTTACAATTGAGTAAACATGGTTGTAAAATGCTTTTAACATCAAACCACTAATATTAATATCATAGTTTTTTTCAAATTAAGCCTTCAAGCTCATCTTTATATATTTATCTTTCAGGATGATTTCTAAGAAATATTCATTGTCATTGTTGATCGATTTATTTTATTCCAAGAAATGTGGTCTCTTTATGTTTTTTTTTATTTTCATATTTTTCTTTCCCTCGACTTATGATTTATAGGGAGCTATTTATAGGATATCCTATGATTTTGAGGAATATCATTTTTATCTACGAGGTGATTTTGATATCTGCACGAGAGAGCGAAGCGAACGAGTGCATATATCAATATCACCGAGTAGATTAAAATGATATTCTGAAAAAAATCATAGGATGTTCTTATTATCCAACACTTACAAGGAGTGTACTTAATGTATACTATCATTGCAAAATGAATTCCATGCCAAATAGAGTCAATTTGGCGGGAAATCAACAAGCGGAGTATATCGTCACAATATCCTCCGCATATTGGGTTTTCCGGAAAATTTGTATTATTATTTAGATAAAACCACTGCCATTTAAAGCTCTAATGATAATATTCATTTTGCTATTTGTTTTATTTATTTTTGTGGTAAACATTTTATAAAGTGCTTGGTTAGAAGGGAACGTGAATAAACCTGGCGCTATATTGTATGATCAGCTTATCTTGTATGTCAGAGTCAGGTTATCATCTTATGGGGAAGGGATATATGAGATATCTGCATTTTTGCAGTGAGTCTATGGGATCCAATAGGTGTTTCTCTGTCTATCAGTCTATTGGGCTGTCCATCCATCACTCAAC